TCGTGAACTTTACAACGATGGCCACCCGAAAATATCGTATGCGTCCAAAGTGAAAACTTCGTTGCCACAAAGTAATGCCATCGAGCACATGACGGCAGTTCAGTTTGTGGGACTTCTGAGGTCGTTTGGCCTGTCGGTTGTTCCCTCGGTCCGAACGCCCGACTCCCAGCCGGCACTCCGAGCTCCCTCCCCGCCGATCGAGCAGTCGGTAGACGCCGCTCTGCTGGCCTCCTCGGTGCGCGCTGGATCACCCACGGGCGACGGTTGGACGACGGCTCGGCGTGGTCGGAGTCCCCGCGCGCCGTCGGACGTCCCTTCGTCTGCGACTCAATCAGATCCTTCGCTACAGACACGCCTTTCCAGTGCCTGTGAGCGTGTGGCAGTGTCGCTGGAGCGCCAGGAAGCTGACAGGCGCGCCCGCGAGGCCGAGTGAGCGCGCTTGGCCGAGCTGGAGCGTATTAAGGCGGCAAGCCGTCTGTCCGGGGCAGACAAAGAGCCCGCCACCCGAAACAGTACTCCATCGCCACGGAGACCGGTGGATGCCTCCACTAGTCCCTCGAAACCCGGTAGAGGCCCGCCGATGGGCCCTCCCCCGTCTCCACCCCGGACTGGATACGCTGGCGTAAGGCGTGCCCCAGCCCCCCTTCTCCATTTGACGGAAGGAGCCCAAGGATTCGTTCTAGGGTGGGGCATGCCCCCCCCCCCCCCCCCCCCGGAGTTAAACCGTAGCTCTCGGTCTCGGTCAAATACATTTGGCGCAGCATATCTCTTTTAAGACGGGACTTGTTTTAGCTTTTTGCATCTCACCGCTTTTTTAATGCGACCTTTTACAGGCGCTCCTACAGTGGAACTGTAGAGGAATAAAGACGAACGCCCTCGATCTCCAGGCTGTCGTCAGCAGGGTCCCTCCTGCAGCCGTGGCGCTGCAAGGCACCAAGCTAGCGTCTGAGCATTTCTGCTCTTTGAAAGGATATGCGATGTTTCGCAACGACGCGTCGACGGAGACCATTGCTCACGGTGTTGTCCTCCTTGCAGGTCATCATAGCGTGCCAGCGAGGATGTTAAGCTTGTGGTCCACGCTTCAGGCTGTGGCCGTGCGGCTTTATTTCAATCATCGTCACATCACCGCTTGTTCCCTTTACCTTCCACCAGGCATCGCTTTTCTGTTGATGCACCTAAGATGCCCGCTGGCCGAACTGCCTTCACCACTTCCTCTTCTAGGCGATTTTAATGCGCATCCCACCGCATGGGGGTGTGACGTCACCAATGCTCGTGGGAGGCTGTGTGAGACTTTTATCCACGGTGCTTCACTGTGCATTTTAAACACAGGAACTCGTGCACATTTTACAATGTCATCCGGCCAGACGTCAGCGCTAGACTTAAGCCTCTCCAGTCCCCAGCTCGTCCAACACCTCGAGTGGAGTGTCGGAGATGACCCCATGGGAAGTGACCATTTCCCAGTGTGGGTCCGGTTTAAGAGAGGTGGAGCGTTGAGTGTTAGACCACAACGCTGGAATTTTAAGAAAGCGGACTGGTGCAAATTTGAAACTCGGCTCAAAGAATCGTTAATAACTTAGCCTGAGAGGACGCCACCCTCTATTGAGGATTTACTCACAGACTTTTAGAGTGTGCCAACAGTTGTATCCCACGCACGTCTGGCGCTCTCCGACGTACTCCTGTTCCGTAGTGGACGGAAGTGTCGGAGCGCCTCACGGGCGCGGAAACGTGCGTTTCGGGCTTTTGACGCTAGGAGCAATGTAGAAAACCTGATAGCCTTTAAGAGAGCGAGAGCTTTTGTTCGGCGCACTGTAAGGGAGGCGAAGCGTGCTTCCTGGCGCGCGTACGTGAGCACGCTAAACCGGCTTACGCCGACATCGCAGATTTGGGCCCAGATGAAGCGTATTTCGGGTCAGTTTTCACCCATAGCTCTGCCGGTGCTGTGTGTTAACGACCAGGCTGTAGCGCGCCCGTTGGATGTTGCAAATGAGGTTGCCCGGGCCCTGGCCCAACGCAGCGTAGGTGGTAACACAAACCCACAGTTTGTGCGGCATATAACGCGATGTGAGCAATCTGCAGTGGACTTTTCGACGAGTGGATTGCATTTATATAATGACCCTTTGACGCTGGTCGAGTTGGAATCGGCGATCGCTAGGCTTCGCAGCGTGTCAGAAGGGCCGGACACTGTGCACGACGATGGGCTTAAGCATCTGCCGCGTCGCGCGCTTCGAGTTTCTTTAGTGGTCTTTAAATCGCTTTGGACCAGAGGTGAATTCCCAGCTTCTTGGCGAGAAGCTACTGTCGTGCCTCTCTTGAAGCCGGGAAAAAGGAGGCTAGGTCCTTTACATCATTTATAATTATACAATTATGATGTAATTGATATAATTATTATAATATTATTATATTATATATGATATTATTATAATATATTATATTATATCATATTATATTATATGATTGATGATATATTATACTATAATTATGGGCACATTTGTCTCACGTCATCGCTCTGTAAGTTGATGGAGAAGATGGTTAATGTCCGTTTAACCTGGTTTTTGGAGCATCACGACATTTTTACGAACGCACAATGTGGTTTTAGAAAGAATCTCAGCACAGCAGATAATCTTTCAGTTCTTGACGCTGCGATTCGTGAGGGATTTAAAGCAAATCGACACACTGGCACTGTCTTTTTTGGCATAGAGGGCACCTATGATATCACCTGGTATTCGTCATGGTATTGTTGTTAAACTATAAAGGTATGGTATACGCGGCAATATGGGCACCTTTCTTCAAAACTTCAGTTGACCGTTATTTCAGTGTCCGTGTTTGGGAACGTGCTCTCTGAGAGGCACCGCCAAGTTAATGGTATGCCCCAGGGTGGTGTCCTGAGCGTATCACCGCCGTTATGATAAACGACACCGGGGTTTGGATGCCAGTCTGTGGGTCTTGCCCTTTTGTTGATGATTCTACCATCTGGACTAGCGCAGCAAGAGCTTCATCAATGGAGCGGCATCCTCAGTTGGCTGTGGATCGTATCGAGAAGTGGAGCACCATAAGCGGGTTCAAGTTTTCTAGCAACGAGACTGTAGCCATGCATTTTTGTCGTAGTCGGCAATGCGGCAATATATATAAAATATATATATATATATTCGTCTGTGTGGTCAACATACCTCAGCGGAGCCTGCGGCTAGGTACCTCGCGGTATACCTTGACCGCCGACTAACGTGTAAAGTCCATCTTAAGACGCTACGCGAAAGCCGTTTAAAATCCTTGAACATACTAAAATGCATTTCGCGCACATCGTATGGTGCAGATAGAGGCACGCTTTTGCTATTGTATCGCTCAGTCATACTATTCAAGTCTTACGTGTTTTATCTGCTCGCGCTCCTTTCAGTCAGGCCACGGTCATTCAGCCCAGACACAAGCGCTGCGAGACGGCAACTGTTTTAACACGCGAGGCGAGCAGGCGGCGCCGACCCCGGCGGGCGGCGCCCCAGGCAGTACACCGCCGGCCGGGGCAGCGGCGTACCGAGGTACAGCAGCACTGGCGGCGCGAGCAGGAGCGGACTCAGGCGCACACCAGTAACATCACTGTACACGTACGGTATAAGCTGGACTACGCATGTTTTATTTATGACAGCGCGTGTGAGTCCACCAAACGCGTCCTGGACACTGTCCATCACACCGCTTTACGTGTAATCACAGGGGCGTTCCGCGCATCACCTACGGCAAACCTCATGGTGGAATCGCACGAGCCGCCTTTGTCAGCGAGAAGGAAAATGCTCGGTATACGTTATGCACGTAAGCTGCGACAGTTCCCCTCCCATCCGGCATATAACACAGTTTTCACGGCCTGCTGTCCGTTTTCGTCGCAGTGCACCTCGGGTACGTTCCGTGATCTTTGGCCTCCGAATACAAGCCTTGCTGCGGGAAAGCGAGTTCCCGTTCGAAGGTTGAAGCGGGTAGATCATGTGTCCACTCGTCCCTGGCATTTGGTCTCACCATCAATAGATAGGTCTTTGGCCTAAATGAAAAAGAGTGTCGTCTTGCCAGATAGAATGAGGTCGAGGGCACTTGAGCGTATGGCGGTATATGACGGTTAAACACTTACTGACACGGACAGATCCAAAACTTCTGGCGGTGTGGGTTGTGCGTTTGTGGGCGGCGGCGCCATCCGATTGTTTTCTTTGCCTCCACGCGCGTCGGTGTTCACATCGGAGTTGGTAGCAATCACCAAGATGCTGCGTTGCATTGAAGTCAGTGACGAATCTTCACATCTGATTTTGACAGACTCTCTGAGCAGTGTTCTTAGTCTGAGGTATTTTTATCCATCATGTCCCCTTGTACAGGATATGCTAGACGTCTGACTCATCTGGATCAGGCTCGAAAGAACGTCACCCTCGTTGAATTCCCAGTCACATTGGAATCTCCGGCAACGAGGTGACTGCCGGGGCTGCAAGGCGAACAGCGGTGTGTCCATGTGTACGCTCTCTTTCTATCCCTGCTAGAGATGTTCATCCTGCAATAAAAACCTCTCTGCAGAACGAATGGCAGCGTTGTTGGGATGGGACAAACGAAAACAATTTCAGAGCAATAAAACCTCGGGACTTCGACTTCAAGTTCGGGACTCTACACGGTTCTAGACGGTAGGGTAAAACAAAACTCGTTATGGGCGCCAAATGACCGCTGCAGTCGGCGCGCCTGAAAACACTAATAAACAACATGAGACCAGAGCTGGTGGCAAGTTGCATAGTGCATCATGATAATGGTGACAAATGTTGGTCGTCGTGTCTTTGCTTTGGCTAGAGGCTCAAATTTGACTGGTTAACAAATGGCAAACCATGGGCATTTCATACATTTTCACACAGACATCGTGCCCCACCATCCGCTGCCGTAGTTCTTCTCGCGTCCGCAGGCGGCGCGGCGGTCGCCAGGGCCCGCGTGGTCGGCCTAACGCTTTAGAAATACGGGCCGCAGGGCTGGCTGTCCGCAGAAGGGTCCACGCCGCGACCGGTGCCGAGCCGCCACCCCCACGGAGACGGAGTCAGCGCCCACGCCCTCGACATGCAGTACAACATTTTCCAGGTGGGAGCGCCTTACAGCGCGTGATTTTAGGGAGGATTTAAAAAGGTGTGATTTCGAACAATGCCGATCATATTTACAGAATGATGCCGATGAGTCTTTACCATTCATATTTGACAGGACCGTAAATCGGAGTGAACTTAACTATTGTGGTAAAATATGACACAATATGCACGCTTTTCAAAACAAGGCCAAGGGCTTGGCATTCGGACAATATGAAACGGATTTCCAGGCTTTATAGTCTATAACAGAGATGCAAACAGGCATTCAATACATTTTCAATAAACAGAAATCGCTAAATTTCGCAAAAACACAGCAATGTAAAGGCGTGTTAAACTCTCCATGTGCAGTTGTTAGGCACGGAAGTTTGTTTTTTACCTTCTAGACTGGAGTGCACCGTCGTGAAACACGCGAATTGCTCCTGAGCTGCAATACATCTAGGCTCATGAGGTTCAATTCTTTATCGTGAACTAGCTACTGGGCATGGAATGATACGGAATGTTTAGCAACAATTTTCTGCGCTTCCACGGGTGTAGTTAAGGGGGAGGGAAGCGGGACAGCCACTCGTTCAGAGGCCTTGAGCGAGCCCTTGCCGGAAGCTCTTCAAAGGAAATCGCACTGAGGTCCAAACGCCCAAAGAATCCCCCAAAGAGTTGTCTCGGACCTCAATGGGTTTCTGACCCCATTACATTTCCAGGGGTCCCCAACTGGCCAACATGTAGTGAAAAGGTCTCATCTACAGGGGTAACGCAGTGCCACCAGCGTCCCTATAAGTCTAGAGAAACAACTCTAGGCTTTCAACTCTAACCCGTCCAGAATTTCCCCGGGAAATGAACGCAATCAACCCGGGCCACTGTGGTGCAGCCCGAAATAGTCCCTCAACCTTCTTACTGTGCAATAAAGATGGTAAACGGGAGAGTCATTCTGTTCGACAACGTCCATGTGGAGATGCTGCGTGAAATCTTTCATCCCGCGGCAACATCAGCTATGAATGAATGCTGTTGTCTTCAAGACTTCTAGCCAAAATTTCTCCATTCTTTACTGTTGCCCCCAGCAGGTTGTCTGCTAAAAACTGCGGCACACACTTGTCTGATTTTTTTAAAGCTTCAATATCTGTCTCAGATGGCCCCAGACGTTTCTTGAGCGATCCAATTTAGGAATGCAAGTGCTTGCACCGCTTCAGACCACGCGGTGCGTTGAAATGAGAAAGCACTTATGTTTTACAGAAGCGGTCCCCAACTTCCTTGAATAATGTCAAGACAATATCCACATCATTAATGTGAGTTTCAGAAAATCTTGCAGGGTAGGCGTGCAACGGCCTGAACTTCACACACCTTTGGCTGTTAATGTTTTGAATGCGGTTCGAAACGAGGTGCACCGCCGTAAGCAGCAATTCAAGCTTATCGCTAATGTGAGTTTCAGAAAAATCGTACGGGTCCGGGCTGAACGACCTTTAACCCTGTAGATCTTTCGAGGTCATAGCTTCGAATGTGCGGGGCGCGAGGGGCGCCAGCGTGATCAACATGTCGACCCCATCATTCGTGTGAATTTTAGCAAAATCTTGGGCGTCCCTTTTGAGTGTGAATATTGATGTGGATGCGGACGCGGAGCTGTCTCTACAGACGTACAGTGAAGGGCGAGTACAACCTTTCAAATCAACTCTTATAACATGCTCCACCAGTCAGCGTTGTGTGCCTATGGCATAAACGACCCTTTTATGCTGCGAATTGGGATGATTAGCACATACGGCCTACTGGCTCATGAACCAGAGGCGTATACCAGGGGCGTATTTCTGCAAAATGAGGTGGGTAGGGTTAGAACATGGTAAAATAGTAGCTATGTTCCTCAAATACACAGAATGCGAGCTTATTGCCGAATTTGACCCATTTCTTTCTCAACGCTGTGGAGAAAGCCGCTTCCTGACTGAAGAGGAGGACCCAAACAGGAATCTACTCCACATACCAGCTACGTATTTTATAATGCCTTATGAACTTTTTTAACCCTCCTCCCATCGCTGAATTTTGGAAGTGATTTTTTCACTTCTGCCCGGGAAAAGCATGACATATGAATGCTGGCATCTTAGTTGATTCAGTTTTAGACCCACATGACGTGGGGTTCTGTGATTCATGGTATGGTCCCCTAGCATGAGAACAGCGCCCAGAAAACAAAAAGTGATTGTAGCCAGCACGGAGCCCATTGGAGGTTTGTAATACGTGCTGTCAACCCTGGGTGAGCCGCTGCACCGGAACTGCAACATACTGGTATGAAGGCCGGTCCCGCTGTCGGCACACCTCTGATGACAAACACCACCGCCGATGGTGTGAGGGACGGTCCCCCTGTCGGCACACATCCGATGGCAAACACCACCGCCGATGGTATGAGGGACGGTCCCGCTGTCGGCACACCCCCGATGACAAACACCACCGCCGATGATACGAGGGACGGTCCCGCTGTCGGCGCACTTCCGATGATAAACACCACCGCCGATGGTATGAGGGACGGTCCCGCTGTCGACACACCTCCGATGACAAACACCACCGCCGATGGTATGAGGGACGGTCCCGCTGTCGGCGCACCTCCGATGACAAACACCACCTCCGATGGTATGAGGGACGGTCCCGCTGTCGGCGCACCTCCGATGACAAACACCACCGCCGATGGTATGAGGGAAGGTCCCGCTGTCGGCGCACCTCCGATGACAAACACCACCGCCGGTGGTATGAGGGACGTTCCCGCTGTCGGCGCACCTCCGGTGACAAACACCACCGCCGGTGTATTGTGCCCATGGTGGTGTGCCAGCAAGGACGGACGACCCGCTACGGGCCCACGGGAGCGATCCGCGCTGGAGATATTATACATATATCCAGGCTTCTGCGACCTTCTATTTTGGGTTGGTTCATACTTAGTTAGGTTTCCGGCCTGAGGCCGAGTGAGTCCGAGTTTCAGCTTGGCTCATCTGCGAGACGAATCGTTTCAGTCGAGTCCCAGCCCCAAAACGTCGTGAGACTTGAGTCGAGTTCCACCCTGACTGGGCTCAGACCCCTGACCTGTAATGAAGTCACTGAATGTTCGCAAACTTTTGGGTGCCGCAAGACAGATTGCTTCGCAGCCCGAAACCAGATGTCTCGAATGAACGTATCATCCGAAATGAAACGAAGGAGCGCCCAGTTTACTATTTCCTGGCAGCAGCTTCACATTGCATCACTTGTATGTTGTTACTCGCATGCAATTAAAGCGTACAGCAACGGAAAACAATGGTGAGTTACAACCCGGGAAAAAACCCACCCGAGCTTTCACGCGGTTATCGCGCAGACCGCTGGCTGATGTTGTGCAGCGGCGTAGATGCTTTTTATTGCATGTGTCTAGCCATTGTTCCGCACCGCCGGCCAAGGAGTCAAGCCTGTCACGCGGCCCATTATCTTTGACCTAGAAATTCCCCACAATAACAGTGCGGTCAATGTGTACATAGGCTCAGTGGACCACGAGCAATTCTCCGATTAACGACCGAGTGATGCAATTCATGCCTGACTCCAGCCAGGCGGGGGTCAAGCCGAGGTCTGCATAACGCTTTCTCTGCACGACGTGCGCTCTGAGTGGCCCACGCCCTGTGAGGCATGTCCTCTGTGCGGCCCTTGCTGTGCAGCACTGTTGTTCTGTTTAGTTCTGGTTTTGTGCTTCGTACGAATTACTTCTGATGCTTCATGCGACCCATGCCCTAAGCGGCTTGTGCCATGTGTGACATCGTGAAATTAGACTGAACGTCTGTTCAGTTAATCAAATATTTTCCAAAAATCACCCAGGTTTACTATTCTGTAACACTGCACGCCTCGCGGCATGAAACCTCCTGTTCTTTCCTGACAGGTCGACAAATGGCTTTGCCGTGCCTGCAAAAATGAACGGTGAAAATGAACTGTTTACAGGTGATGGACGAGCAGGGAGTGAAGAAACACAAGGGTGGCTGCCACTGTGGTCAGGTCCGGTTTGAGGTCATCGCGCCGTCTCAGGTCACCGCTGTCGAGTGCAGGTCAGCTCCAGGCTACAGTTTCCATTCATAGTTGCGCGCAGCTCCCTTGTGCTGACTGTGGTGGACCAATGGGGTGAACTGCCACTGATCCGTAAAGGCTGCCGTCCGCACAGCTATAGTTCAGCCATATCCGTAAAGGCTGCCGTCCGCACAGCTATAGTTCAGCCATATCCGTTAGGGCTGCCGTCCGCACAGCTATAGTTCAGCCATATCCGCGCGCACGGCGTTATAAACCTCAGCTATGGCCGAGTGGACCGTTATAAGGTTGCAGAGTGAACAATTACTTGCGACAGCAGCGAGTGGCATTATCTGGTGCAGGGCTAGTGGACACCATAGGTGTGGAATTTTCTAGATTTCTGTATCCAGATGTAGATCCAGATCTAGATTTTCTAGTAGCTGGAAGTACGCCATCCATACTACCTCGTTTCTTGAGCCGAGACGCCAGCGCAGGAGTAAGTATCGACCAGAGTACGCGATGCAACTGCTGGTCCTTAATCATGGCACGCACCAGACCAGACAAGCCATGGCCAGACCAGATCAGACCAGACCAGACCGTGGCCAGACCAGACCAGACCAGACCAGATCAGACCGTGGCCAGACCATACCAGACCATGACCAGACCGCGACCAAACTAGACCAGACCGTGACCAGACTAGACCAGACCGTAACCAGACAAGACCAGAGCTGTGACCGAAAGCCTTGGTCGTCAGCTGTGGTACCTGCACCAAGCGGCAGAGCCGTTACTTCGCCGTGTCCACCGACCAGTTCCGGCTGCTGAAAGGCCACGGCCAGCTCAGCACGTTCGGTCCCCTGCACGCCAAGCACCCTTTCTGCACCACATGCGGCGTGCAGAGCTTCTTCATCCCCAGCGCCGGCCAGGACGACTTTGTCGGTGAGCACGTGACACCTGCCAAGGTCACTAGTCACCCAGCCGGCTCGGTCGGCCGTCTCTTTGTCGGCGAAGGTCATCAGGGGGTATTATGAGCAGCCGCGCCGTAAATTCATGACCAAAGAGCCGCTTGTCTCGGTCGAATCCCGTAACCTTTCGGCTGCCACACGGGCGCGGGCTGCGCTTGTCATGCATATGGGTGTCTATGGCCTAACTCGTGAAGCCCGCATCGGCCCTTGACTGCAGCGAATCGGTGCGTGCCGGACGGTGTCAAGGCCAAGGCCGGCCCGGCCGGCTCGCCGTCCCCCTCCCCCTCCCCCCCTCGCCCATCGCTGCGGTTCCTGTCAGCCTTGTGCACGGTCTGTTGTCTGGTGGGGGTGCGCGGGTGGGCTCAGTGGGGCGTGGCGGCGGCCGCGAAGGTAAACCACCGGCACGGCACACGACATGCTCAGGGGCAGCGGTGCGTGTCGCCCCACAGCGTCCTGCGCGCCGGCCTGGGGAGGTAAGAAACGGGCTCCAACAAATAACTGGGCTGCAAGTGGCATTTTGGGTCTATTTCTTCCACGCAACGCTGTAGACGTGATGCTAACTCTCCTGGATCTTTCACCTTTTTTTGTCACAAGACAATCAGAAGTGCAGTTACATTCATGGGGCCTGGCGCGTGTGATAAACGCGGGGTGGGGTGCCGGCCCCTGAGCGTCGCCTGTCGACATCGTCGTCAGCGCCCGACCCGGCTGCCTAGCACGTGCTAACAGACTGGCTCGCATTTCTAGGTGTTATGCCGCACTGCCTTGACCCCGGAACAATGAAAAAAGTGAAGACAGAGAAGCGAAGCTCAAAGAAATCAGCTTTGTCGAGAGGGTCTTCGAAATGAAGCAAGGAAGGAGGCGGAGGAGAGCCAGCAAAGCTGTTGTCTGCTGTTCCTTCCCCATTTTGTCATGGTTAGAGCTCTCTATGCAAAGTCATGCAAGCGCACCCACAATACCTTCGGTCTTTTTTTTAATATAATTTAACTTATGATTATGAACGTTTTTGGCTACGGCTCACCACGCAGATGCAATGCATTCTACATAGCAGCGGCTGTCACCGATCGGAAGCTCAGGCAGCATTCTGTGCACGGCAGCAGGACGGAGCGAGTGGAATCAGACGCACGACCATGACAGGAGCCACACGACTGCATGCAACTCTGAGTCATGCTGGCGCAACGGTACGGTCGGTTTCACAGCCGCAATCTGGTTCCGCCCATGTACGCTATGCGCACTGTCCTGTAGTTTCAGTGCTTTACATCCGGCTCCACACCATAATGACCAAGCACGCAAAGGAAGCTGGGTAGGCAAACAAGCCATCTGGTGCGCTTGCAGGCATTGGAATGTGGCTTCAAGCATCGCCCATCTCGAGGAGCATCGATTGTCACAAGGGCAGGGCGGTCATTGCCGGGCTTCACCGTGTCTTCGAAGCTCCGTTTCGAAGTGCGGAGCTCTCATATGACTGGTTTTATATTGACTTCAGCGGGTTCAATATGTTCAGAGTCGGTTGGATATTTTGGTCGCGTGTTGCACTTATTGCCCCGTCTACAGGCCCCGCGGTTGTTCCGACGGATCTGAAGTCTCGGAGCACCATCGCTTCGGTGACCAGGGTCTTACCAGGTTGGCATGCCTGCTGGGCTCCAATAGGTGACAGCTTGAGGGCCACTGGCACCTAACCCCACGCCTATGGTTTTGCCGCCCAATCCAGATCACAGAACGGAAGCTTGATCTGCCGCATCTCGCGGCGCTCGCAAAGTTTCACATAAAGACACGATCCACCAGAATGGAATTTCAACGACCTTGTTGGGTCCTCGGCGACCGATTTGCAGAGACCCCGGACCGCTCAGGCGTTGACGAAGGAAAAGCACGTTCTCTTTGCCTTTTTCCGTGGGGTTGCTCGTCGGATTCCCCCGACCGTCGTGGCCAGCTTCTAGTCCATCGCTTGCTGCTTCGGGGGCTCTCTAAAACCTTGCTTGGGGTGTGAACAACGTAGCAGCCACGTGGCGGAGCATGCTGCAAAAAATCAGGGCGTATCTCTCGGCGCGTGGCGAATTTGTCGTCTGTATTTCGGGCGGGCTCTCGTCAGCCCTATGGCTTACCGAATATACATTTATTCACAGATGGCGGTTCCCGACTAGAGCCACAGCAGATGGTTCTAACATCAAAACTTTAACGGGGGAATGCTGCGAGATCGCTGGCGAGTCCGGTCGGCATCCGACTGATAACACAGATTCCTCCTCGAGTTCCACAGTTCCGCAGCGGAACTTGCAGCGGAAAGGTGTAACTGGAGGACGCAGCCGTGAAACATTGTATTTTTGGTGGAACGGGGCAGCCTACGACTGAAAAGGTCGGTAAATATTATGGAACGAATAAACAAAAAAATGAATACTAAGGCATATATTTTGTTATATCATGTAACGCGACTATGGTGTGTCGCAAAACAGTTTGAGAGCAGTGTTTTGACTTTTCGACGGGGATGGTCTTCCTGAACTTGCGAGTGACACTCGAAGCTACTCAAGAAGTGTCTTTTAATGAATCAAAAGCGGGTTTTGTTTTGTTTAGCCCTATTACGCGAAGGCCGCCACCATTCGGAGCTATCACGAAACTCTCTGCCCATGAGTCCTCGGGTAAGGTGCACCACAAAATTCCCCGAGTCGCCCCCCCCCCCTCCCCGTTATGATATCATTTTTTTAGAATGGCATCACATAACCAAACCTAGTAGGACAAGCACTATATCCGGATAATACTTTAAAAAAGTGACCGACCTGGAGACGCGGAATTATCAAGGGGACGCGCTTGTGGCATTTAATTACAACTACCAGCGAAATACTGAGGGGCTGCCCTGATTGTGACTGTGGTAAGTACAACAAGGAACTTTTTCATCTTGATTTAATACAAGCAACTTTACTTAGATTGACGTTATTCCTCTCCCTCTGGACCATCACACATTTGTTATGCGTTGCCACATGGATAACATGTACCAACATTGTGGTTTTGCCACGCATTAGACAATTGTCGACCGTCCGCTGATGAATATGGTCAAGGCTTTAATAGCAGAAACATGCCGCGTTACCTTCTTGGACTCTGCACAAGTGCACAACAGCAATAGTGCTATTGCTGTTGTGCACTAGAACACTTTGTTGGCGAAAATGTATCACCAAGATTCCCATTAATTAATCTTTGGACTGCCATTTGCTGGCGACATTCATCTTCGAATGCACACATTGCGTGTCTTTTGTTGCCCAGAGATTCAAATAGGTTACTCCGAGTATTCCAAGCATCCTTCAACTGCGGCGGACGCCTGCGCAACATCGATGTCCTGAAACTCTCGCTTGACTGCGCCGCGCGCATGCCGGGCCAAAGTGCGCCAAATTTTAAATCTCCCTTCGCATTATAATTGTTTTTGGGGGGCATTTGCCGGAAATTATCCCCGCGACATCATAATTCCACAAAACTTTGGCTATCTTCGCATTGAAACTGGTGGCGGCAGACAGCCAAACTCTGAGCGTTCGGATTCACGACGCTCATTTTCCCGCGATGTAGCTGCTTCTCCGGACAGGTCGAATAGCCATGACCTCTACCTTTGGGTAGAAGATGCAGCTTGGCATGTGTGTTGAACATTACAGATGCGCATTTGCTTTGAACTAAAAGTAGTCTGTCATGATACTATTCTTCCAGCAGCGTATTTCATCCCAATTTCTGCATTGCCTCTCATGGCATGATTTTTTTGCCATGTTAATGCACCAAAGGGCCACTGAATCGTTGCATTGGTAATCTGGGCAGTAGCGATTATATCACATCATTTCCTTCCATCTACGTTTGCTGTAAGTTTGACACACACTGCACATTTCTTAGTTTTGTGTGATTGTGGGATGACAGGTTTTTACACTTTGTATTGCCCTTTGTTTTCAACTCTCGTAGCAAACCATTTTGGACTCCACCAACAAACGCTTGTTAATGTCCTTAGTTGTGTCTGCATGAAATCCCTGTGTTATAGAAACCGCAGTCAACTAAAAAACTTTAGTTGAGGAAATCCCAAGCAGATCTGCAGCCGACAACACAGCGGCCTTGCCGGCGAGCCGAGGCCAGCTCGCATTGTGACTGGTCGTACTAACAGAGAAAGGATGTAAGACGCATGGTGATTGGTTCGAACATCAGTGTTGCCAATAGGTAAGAATCTTACTCTCCGGGGAGGGTGGGATGGAATGGATCTTCTGGCCAGGTGAATCCGTTCAGCTGAACCTCACACACGGAGCGGAGTGAATCCACTCTTCTGGCCAGGTGAATCCGTTCAGCTGACCCTCACACACGGAGCGGGGTGAATCCACTCTTCTGGCCAGGCGAATCCGTTCAGCTGACCCCCACACACGGAGCGGGGGGAATCCACGGAACAAGGCTATTACAAATGCGTTGATGCTTCTTGTCATGCGGAGCGACGCCATTCACTCCAGAACTTCGGTTTCAACAGCAATTTACGGCGATTTTATGCAAATTCGCGTAATCTGTTGGGGCCAGATTGTGTCGTGCCACGGTGCGCCTATCATGGACAGAGGAGTCCATTCAATAAAACGAGTTGTAAAAAACTGATTGCACATACTTACGCACATAGTAGACGCCCAGCGGCCGGCAGGTGCCATCACGCTACAGCCATTGACGCGGTTTTTAAGACCTCCCATGGTTTTGCTTGCCTTTGCCGAACTTTTTGAATCTGACTCCGAAATTCTGAACCTTATATGCTGTGTTCATTAGGTCACCTTATAAGTGACTGCCAGAGTACAAAACCCTGGAGTAATAGCAAGCGGCTTTAAAATAATAAATACTTCCCTTCCCATGTGCTTCACAATTAACTCAATTGGTGGAGCGCTGGACTCGCAATCCGAAGGCCCTGTTCGTGCCCGATCAATTTCAAGGATGTAATTCTGGCTGTGAGTTAAATATGGCACAAAGCCAAACAACATCCAGTTCTTGTCAGGACTCATTAACTTGAGATTGAGATTGGATATTCCCTCCGGAAAACACATCGGTCATTTCCCGACCGATTGCTGCCGTCGTTTTGTGTCTGACCATAGGCGTCATGGAACAGTGCACGGTGATCTACGGGTGGCCGGCTGGGGGAGGGAGGGGGGGGGGGGGCGACCGGCAATGCCGCAGGACGCGCGCAGCGGGACGACATCGTCACTTTAACGAGGCCATACGGCATAAACATACGGTCAAAACACGTAAAATTATACACCGTTGTTCTCATAATTGAAATAAAAGAAAAAAGAGCACATTTGTTTAGCTGTCGCGTTGCTACGAGGCATGGCCTCGTAGGTTTGACGTAAATACGGAAAGGCACGATTTCAAACATTCGTGACTTCACTCGATGCAGACAGCTCGCGGATGTTGGCTAGGTACGTATGCACCATGTTCACCTTAAAACGACCAGTACCTCGAACGGCATGGTACACAAACGTCGTTAAGCCGGGCGAGCACGTGCAAGAGACGAGTTTCGTGTATGTAATTGCGTTAGGAGTGAAGGAGGCATCTTTTGAAATGATCTTTCAGGTAATTCTTGTTTTATTTTGACAAATTCCGCTTGGCTCTGTCACATTCTGAGCTGTGCTGTGCTGTGCTGTGATATGCTGCCCTCCTCTCTACTGTTGCCGTCTTGATCTGATCCGTCATCTAGAATCTGTCGTGTGAACCTAGGACCTATCTCATAGGACAAACTCCTTAACCCACTCAGCCCTCAGCCCTCACCTCGGCCCTGTCCCCCTATCGTCTCCGGCCCTGTGCTATCATCTGCTCTCTTGCGTTGTGCCATTATCCTCCGCTCCGTCCCATTCTATCGTCTCCTGTCCTGCGCTCTTCTACGCTGTGCATTTCCACCCTGCCCCAGCTACTGATCTGTCCTGGCCTCTTCTGTACTGCTCTGTTGTCTCCTGCTTCTCCCGGTCCTGTCTTCTCTCCTGTCATGCCATTCCCAGTTGTGGTGGACCCTCTGTGTGTTCGA